ATTGTTCTCTCTTTTATGGGGTCACTTAACAGTGAACTGAAATATAGGATTTCAAGTTGCCGTCAGTAGCAAGTAATGATTCATTTGTTTGTATATATATTACTTTATATAGATACATTATTATTCATAATGAAAACAATTACAAACAAATTCTTAGTTACTTATAAAAATAGTCATTTCCAAAAAATTTGAATAGAATTTTTGGAAGCAATCAGAAATCAGTATAAAGTCATTAAAAATTATTATATTTGTATTATTAATCTATTTATATTATTGTAAATAAGAGGTATGTAAAGCAAAAGAAACCAGATCTTTAGACATTTTTCATTATTCTTACCTATAATTTTTTATTAGTTCTTCAGATTAAAACTTGTAGTTTTGTTTTTCTTTACTTTTCGTTTACAAGGTTCTAGGGTTTACATCTGCTCATGGTTCTGATTACTGTTAGTATAAGTGACATTACTTATGACAAATGCCAGAGTAACTTGGCAGGAAAAGATAGATGTTTCAGTGGATATATTTAGTAAGAATAAAGGACAGCATAGACAACTTGTCTGAAGGAAACAAGGTTATACTTACACTTTATATAACATACTCAGTTGTCTGGGACTCAGTAGATTTTAGTCCCAATTTGTTACAAGTCAATAATTTCATTAAAAACCTGAAAGTTAAATTATAAACTTTGACCCTTTTATTTACTTCAGAAATGAAAATTAATGCGAATAATGGAGAATATATATGCATATACCATATAGTAATAGTTTTCTCAAAGATATAATAAATCACTTTCAAATCAAAAGGACTTAAAAAGGAAATTAATTAATATTCTGTAAACCTATTTTCGAAATTTCGCACTGCTTTAATTAGGACTTATAGGTCTTATATAATTAAATTGTGTATTTCAGATAAATAGACAAGTAAGGATCTGTCTAGAGAGTATGAAATAATTATCTTTTATTAGAACAACATATGTCTTTTATGATTAAATAATATATTTGAATTTATCTGTATTTAACTACTACTATAGATCATGTAAGGCATATACTTCTAATATGTGTGTGTATATAACAGTTAAGTATATAATTGTGCATATATGTTATATATTTAAGACTTTGTTAAAGACTGATTAAGCTTTGAGTTTTTTTTATGGTAGCACATTGCACCAATAGGTCCATGCAGATCTTTAGACTCATTAGCATGACGTAACCTATATAAATATATTGAAAGTTAAATATAACCTAATATTGTAGTAAAAAATGAAATAAATTCATTATCATTAAGTTATAGTCTTTTAATTCCTAAAAGAGTAGATTTTTTTTTCAAAATTTTTTTCTTAAATATTAACCGTGATTATAGTGTCCATATAGGACCTAAGCCTGTTTAACGACGGTCTTCCATTCTTCTCTGTTTTTTGCTTTTGTTTTCCAATTTCTTGTGTTAATTTCTTCTAAGTTCTGCCGCACGCTGTCTTTTCACCGTTTTCTTGGTCGTCCTCTTCTTCTGCTGGTTCCTACTTCGTTCTTATAAATCTTAAGCGGTACTATCTTCTTAAATATACTTCTAATTAAGTTTTTTATTTTGATTAAGTTTCTTATAAAAATATGTAAAATCCCACAATATTAATTCATTTATTAATATACCACAAAACTGATGATTAAGAGTATTTAAAACGTAAAGATTTTGATCTCTACTCGAATGCGATCAATAAGATTAATAAACAACGTCTGACCCAACTTCCAGGAATCATTATCGCTGCATGAATGAAACTGAGATCAAAGGATGCACAAAGTCAATTTCGTTAAGCCAAAATGAGGTAAAGGAAAGAAAAAACTTAAAAAAAACTTAAAAGAAGAACACTGAAAAACAAGAACCGAAGACGTAGTGATTCATAATAAAATAAACGCAGGTGTTTTTTGGTAGTCCAAGAAGAGCGCTCAGCTCATATCTTTCCGAAATAATTTATGAGTTCGCGTTAAAGTAAAAAATAAATGCAAAAATATTCATACGTAAACATCGCGAAGAAAACTATTAACTTTATATGAGGAGAAATAACTCAAGAATAGTTTCTCGTATGTAATAAATATTTAAGTGAAATAATATCTGGCAGTATCTGCTTTAAATGCGTTTTTATGGATTTTAATAAAAAAAATTCTTGCGTGATTATAAAGCAGAATAGATAGAAATTCAGTCGCCTATAGCGAGTCATTTTTGCGGGGATGACTGCAAATTTGGAATATTATTTGGAATTTTAGAAGAATTATAGAATCAACGTTTTTTAATTTATTATTTATTATTACTTAATTAGTGCCAAGTGTTAATACCGAAAATATTTAGTCATTCGTAATGTAGCGTTCTTTTACCTCCGTAAAATGTTTGTATCTTATCTTGTCTGATAATATCACACAAATGAATACATACTTTCTAGTAATTTCGAAAACATATTTTATCTTATCATACCGAACATGAATATTATCAATACAACAAAAATTTATTTATATATACGAGTATATATATTAAATTTATATACACTACTTTTCATAAGCCATGGTTCGCTTGCATTATTCCCAGGAAGTAAATTCCCAGTAAAGTAAAGTATTTCCAGTAAATTGCAATATAAAATAATGTGATAAAAAAGATAAAATGAAATTATTTATAATTTATAACTTTTAAAGTTTCTTTCTAAAGACTCTAAAACATAAATTATATCTTATTCTAAAGATATTATTTACATGAACTTGATTTTGAACATATTTGCAGCAATGTTTTGTTCTTGGCTCAATTTTTGCTCAGTATTTATTTAATGGATCGGTTGTTTCCAGGTCGTATGCATAGATACAAGTATTATCTCTAGTTATTAAGCATTGTAACTTATTTTGTTCGACAAAAAACATTGTTTCACGGTCTATAACGTGAAGTAGTTGTCCCATAAATTGAGTGTTTTTGATGTTAAATGAGAAGATTACACTATTTTCAGGCACAAAACATTTTTTTAAAATAATCTAGACTGCTTTAAATGAAATGTTTATAGTATCGATGCTCATCGATGAGTGGTAAAGGAGCACTGACTCTGAGCTTCAAATTTGGCAGGGCACGAGTTCGCTTTCCAGCATTTGCATTCTCAAAAAAAATTATTTATGAAGAATTAGGCCCAAAAATTATTTCCAAGATCACTGATGATGGGTATTTGACAATATTCGAAACAGCTGTATGATCAAAAATTCAATTAATTAAAATAATATAAAAATAATTTTTGTTGTTGTCGCTCATTACTATTTGAAATTTCTCTATTAAATACCACAGTTTCTGTTAAATTAAAAATAGTCACTTCTGTCATATTGACGTTAAAATCAAATTTAATCGATAAGTATCTCTAATTGTCGGTCGAATATTTTTGAGAACCAAATATTTGATTTCTTGGATGCGTTGTGTATCAATTTCATATTGATAGTCGACCAAGTCGAATTATAGATGATGTCTCCAACGCTTTCTTTGCCTTATTTGAATTCTCACTTCTATATCTTTCTCAACATATCTCCAGCAGAAATTTCATTCTTTGCTTAACGAACTAAAACGTTATAAGGATCGCTAAATAACCTTCTTGTTATTCACAAAGCATGTGCATAATAATTGGATAAATGCAGATATTGTCATTAAAATTGACACAAATGTCGAAGACAGTACCACACAAATGTCCAAGGTAGTACCACACAAATGTTATTTGGTAGTACCAAGTAATTGATCTTCAGGCCACTCATATTTCAATACCATTGCTCTACTAATACCACCTTGTTTAATCTATAGTCATGCCGAGCGGATAAGCCTCTCTTTGTTCACTAGCTTACCTGCGGTTCAGATAAGAAAGAAACAAGTATCATTCATGAACTCTGTCACTGCTCGGAATTTAATCGTCTATCCAATATTTATTCCCTGGCAGAAAGCATATATCTGCTTCATGTTTTTTCTTTCTTATTTTGCTTATATTGTTTGTTTTATTAAAATAAACAGAGTGGTTTTCCGGTTTATAGGTTTATTTCTAGTCAGTTACCGTTCTGTAAAAGTTTTTTTCTATTACAATAGGTGTCATCTCAAAAACGAAAGTGAATATGTTAATATCTCTATCATATTCTATCTGATATCCAGAGTCTAATTACTTTACGTTTCCATGTCACAAGTGTTTGTCTGATATCCGCTATGTGAATATCAAAAACATTAAGAGAGGACATAAAGACCGTAGTAGTTTCTGGTTTTGGATGCTGACATCTTTATCTTAAGTATGTTAAATAAGTAAACGTTCTGTAAAATGGTATTCTAATTACAATGTGCCTGTTTCTAAGATTGCAACTGAGTCAATGCTACAGCGAAGCGTTCTATAAATTCAACAGAATCAATAAATGTACTTAAATATAATACTGAATCTGTTGTACGAATATTTTTACATGACACTGTAGGACTTCTATATGTAAACCAATAAACGTAACTGATATTGGCTAGAGAATGTGTTTCCATAGAGCGATAATTCTATTATGTATTAGCTTTGGGGTACCTTAAACCGAATTGCTCACAGTTTTTTTTATTACTTAAAATATTTTATTTATAATATTTCATTTATAAAGTAGCTAAAAATTGCAGATAGCTCACCAATGATAATTTTTATCAATAAAAATTTTGCACATGAAACACGAACAAAAATTATATCTTATCAGAGCGAAAGTTATCAACGCGTAAAATTCGAAAGACTGAAAATTATTGGCAAAAGGTGCTTTAGTGTAAATCGGTAAATCCTACGAAAAGTTTAAACAAATTGTAAAAAATATTATTGTGCCAAAAAGTGATACTTTGAATATTTATATATACCATATAAGTACATACATATGTATATACAAATTATTGGAGAAGTGAATGAATATTAAAGTGCTGAGAGAACGGGATATATAAAAAAAAATTTTTGAAAAAATTAAAAGATTTTATTTTTAATATAAAGCTTGAAAATAGTACAAAATTAAAAAGAAATAAAATACAAATATAAATAAATTATTATATAAAAATAAATAAGTACCTACATTTACAATGGATTATAAAATACTTCTATTGGTAAGTCACAACTACTATATTGAACCTTAATTTAGTTATCTCTGGAAATGTTCCAAAATAAAAAGAAAGCGATTAACTGTTGCGTCAGATATGTATGATATAGGTATTAAAATCGTTTTGATATATAACAAATGTATAAAAGTATATACATGAGTATAGGTAGATGGAGTATTATAAAAATAGACATCAAACCTATGAGAGTCCCAATTATCTTGGAATTGTCATTTAGTAATCAAACTATATAAAATTATATATATGTATATAAATATATAATACATATGTATATTTTTATAAATATAATTAATAAAATTATTTTTGGTATTAAATGACGTCACTTTTAATATAAACTCTATATGGTAGAGCTATTCTCAAATAATGAATATTTGTTGAATTTGTTCATAATTTTGGTGTGTCATCCCAATATTTTGGCTGAATCTATTATTTTTGGGGGCAAGGTCAATATATTATCAACAATTGATAAAATCGATTAACATTTAGTTTACTAAACAAGAAATGTAGTTTAATCAAGAGTCATGGAAATAAGGTCTTCAATAACTAACTATGAGGGAGAAAAATATTTTTAAAATAATATTTGCTATTATTGGGTAGATAGTTGAAGTAGAAGGGCGGCAGAACATATCAATAACCTAGAAAGTCTTTTATATATTATTTACCATGTAAATTTAGAGAGAGATTTGTTGAATGCATAGATAAAACTGAGTACAAGGCCAATTACTAGAGTAGAGTGATTTAGGAATAAGTTGAAGAATTACAGGTTATAGCGCTTAAACCTGATATCTTTTTTCAGACACTAGGATTAAGTATTTCTATTTTGTCTATATTTAAATACCCTCTAGCTTTGTTGGGAATACTCGAATCTGTTACCATTTAGATCGATTGAGCTCTCTTCTGGTGATATAAGGTCGGGTTTATACAGCTGTTTAAAAATCTATTTTACAAGGATTAAGAATCAGTATATTTCTTTTGTAATTTGCGTACTGCTAAAATCTTGTTTCTGTAAACGGATGGTATATGTTACTAATAATTAAGGATTATTAAGGTCTCCAAATTAGAGTTACATTGTAAACCTTTGTAAACCTTTAGGAGTCCCCTTTCAACACTTTAGGAGTCCCCTTTCACTCAAGATCAATTACAAGATCTTCCACTAAACAACATTGTGAATTTCGGCAAAAGCTCTACGTGGTTTTAAGCCATGAGTTCTCTTCTATATACGGTAACACAATGGATCAATAGGCCTAAGTGGATCCTTAAGGGATCGCCGGTATAACATAATTTAACCAATACATTTATTACTATAATTTAGTACTAACTACAATAGAATCGAGATATTCAATGCAATATTTTTTAAAGCAAGAAAGAATAAGTATATTATATGGTAGGTGATATCAACAGATGGTACTAGAGTTTTTAGTAAGTTAATATTCAAAATTCATCTATTACATATTTTTGGTTTTATTAACTAGCAAGTATCTTTTTATTTCGTTCCTTTTATCAAAAAGTTTATATTAGAATTATATTAAAATAAATAACGTTCTGGTGTTTTGAGGTTCAAACCTCTGTCTAAAACATTTACCACCATTCTACACTAGGCATAATATATTGTTTACAATATTTTAAATGTTTTCATATGAACTTCTGTCGTCTCTGTATACGCCGACTCCAATATATACTTGGCAGTTTCGATTTCAGTCCTTAGTAGTTAAAAAAAATAGGTCATACTTTATATATAAATAGAACACAAACTAAGACACTGAAGTAATTGTAGAAATTTCTCTTTGTAAACCTGCCATATCGATTAATAAAATATTTACAAATGAATCAAAATTCAATAATTTTGTATATATAAATATTTTGATTAATTATAAATTAAGCTATGCGTTTATCATATTTATTTAAAGCTAGAAATAAATCACTTTCATACATTGTATATTAAATATTCGTACTCATATATATATTATAGTACAAAATCAAATAATACTTAAATATATACTACAGTATTAATCATTATATGTCGTATAAATATAATGACATAACAAAATAAAATGAATAAATAATAAATTGAATAGCAATTAAGCATTGTTTATTTATACATATATCGGAAAAATTTTGAAAAAGTTATATATATATTTATATAATAAATAATATTATTAATCAGTTATTTTAAACTTGTACTACATACATAAATTAAATATCTGGCATTATCTTTTTTATACATCTAACTTTACACAATAGATCAGCTCAGTTGCTATATATCATAATCCCTACCTAAAAAAAATTATTAACCTCGGTTAGGTTAGATTATACCGGCGATCCACTTAAGCGTATCAGTTCATTGTGTTACCTTATATATAGAGGAAAACTCAGTATTTAAAACCACCTAGAACCTTTGTGGAAGCTCAAAATGGTGTTTAGTGGGAGGTTTTGTAATTGATCAATATCCTCAAGGGGACTTCTAAAGTGTTGAGTCGCTGCTGTGCATGAGATGGGCAAAGACAGAGTAGTAGAGAGGCACTCTCAGCGTCTTCCCCAAAGCTGCGACAGGTATGATTAAAAGGGAGATTCAATCATCTAGTCTGGTTACCTATAATAATTCACCTAAATACTTTTAATTTTTTTTAGTGTTTAATTAAAAAATTCATCTATAAGATAAATATTTTTTGCGTTAATAAATACATAATTAAAATATTTTGGTTTATATACTATATTAAAATATAGTATATAAAATATGGACAAGGTAAGGGTATGAAGCTAGTGAAGTAGAACATTCAATAAAAAAATTAATAATTAAAATACAATATAAATAAATTTAATAAATAATAAAAACAAAATCAAAATAAATTGATTTAGAAATAAAATAATATTTAAGTAAAGTGATATGAATATTAAAACAAAATAAATTAGAAAAATGATTAAAACAAATAAAATAAGTATTGAAAAATAAATATAAATATATAATTAAAATAAGTAAACTCTAAACACATAAAGTTATAATAATGTGTATTTAGTTTGATTTATTTTAGAATCTCCCGAATTTTGAACAATCTCAACTTCAATAACATAAATATTATTATATATTTTATTTACCAGATATTTTTCATCTATGATAAGCAATATGATTTTTGATACATATATATTCAAAAATATAAACTTAATTATTTTATATATTTAAATTAATTCATTAATTGTGTACTATCTGTTATAGTAATCCAATTTCATTTAATTGCCAATTTTATTTATCTGGACTCACAAAAAGTCCTTATGCAAAATTTTATTCGATTTGCTTGAAATCTGAAGGACCCGCTACTTTATTGGCGGATAGATATACTGACAGATTCGCAGACATCACTTAATTGACTTGACTTATTATATTCATCTAGGTCTTATTCTTGTTCATCAAGATCTTGTCTTAAGATATTCATAAGATCTTCAACATCTCAAACATATTGATTAGAGCAATATACTTATTTATTCATAAAATTTTTGAAATTTATTTTTCGACCTATTTATTAAAATGGTTTTTTTTATATATTTTTATTTTAGCTGAAGGTCCCTTCTAGTTAAATAGTATATACTCTATATTTCGACTATATTGTACAATATAGACGATAGAATAAAGAGGACGACGTTTATGCAGTTTTAATAATAATAACTTATAATCGTAATCCTGATGATGAATCTCAAGGAAAGTCGAAAAATATATTTTAATAAAAAATATTAAAGTTTTATTATTTAACAAGAAGAGACCTACAGCTAGAATAAAAATATATTAAAAAAACCTTATTTATTCATAATAGAGTTAAGTATTGTATATAATAAGTACATGGGTACTAGCACGCAGAACAGTAATTTCTTTAAAAACTTTTTTTTTTTTGGAAAAATTATTAAAAAACAATCAAAAACTCTATTACATTTCTTATAAAATTAAAAAAAAAATATTTTATAAAAAATATATTATTAATCCATTCAGGCCAGAATTAAAAATGATTTGGAGGAGTAATATTTTTTAGTCCTCCAATTTTTATAATTAGTACAATAGTTATAATAAAAATATATTTACAAAAAAAAACTGTACACTTTTTGTTGTTTTTTTAAACTATATTTTTATATATATAAAATTTTCTGACATAAAATGAAAAATTTATTAAAATATTAAAGGATAGAACCCTGAAATTATTTACGAAGACTGACAAGCTTACCAACACGGCGTTATCGAATCTCAGAATGGTTACAGGCTCCTCGGGAAGGTATGGAGATCTGAGATCAATTATTGCTTAGTCTGATTAAGTAATAAACAATAAAACAGTCAAGGCGTAGAGAGGGGTTATGAAGAAACCTCGCAGTTTATAGAGAATAAAAGTGCTTAAGTGCACTGACTCAACTAGCCTCATTATAATAAATTAAAATTACACTAAAACTATATACAATTAAAATTATAAAAATATATTAAAATCAATTTTTAAAATCCAAAAAATATTAATTATTATGATTATTAAATAAGCAAATAAAATCAAATAAATAATTAAAAAAACTAAATTATATACTAGGCCTTATTTAAAATTTTAAGTAATATAAATTTAATAAAAAAATTCAATTGTATAAAATTAGTTTAAATAAATATATATAAAAATTAATAAACATATTAATAAAATAAAAAAAATAAATTAAAAAAAATTCCGCTGTTGGCTGGAGGTGCCGGGGTTTGAACCCGGGACTTCTCACATGCGAAGCGAGCGCTCTACCACTGAGCTACACCCCCTAACACACAACGCTTGTCAAAAGATTTATTTCAGTATAAGTATTTTATAAGAAATAAAATTTATTATAAAATATTTTAGGAGAAAAATTAATTATATTTTAAATTAAAAAAAATAAAATTAATTTTTTAAATATTCTACCATTGTTTTAATAATTTTTGCAGTTGTCATTAGTGCACTTCGGAACACTGCTGTGTCAGGTTAAAGCACAGCACGAAAACATACCATACCAATCTGTGACCAATATATGCAAGACATGCGAGTGCTTGACAGCTCAGGATGCCAACAAACATTATCATTACGTGCTGAACTGTGCTGTCAAGAAATTTGAACACATACTGGCGCGTTGGCCACCGGAATTTGGGAATAATCACAATGGTATGAATATACGATATAAATCATTTGAATTATTGAACCCATTATTTTTATAAAATTCTAGGCATAGATATAGTTGCTACCTACTCGGGTAACTATATTGATATACTACAGCAACTGCCGGCTACCAATTCCTCGCTCAGTTTCACCTGTCGCCATTGCAGTATTAAACACTTACAGGTGCCAACATTTATGGATGTGCCATATTTAAAACGTTTAGACATAAGTTGGAATGAGATAACCTCCTATGAACTGACACCGGATGTGTTTCGCGGTCCATATCGTGCGACGCGCTATGAACCGATCGCTTTAACAGACTTAGATTTAAGTAATAATAAGTTACACACACTGGACAGGAAGCTATTTGAGCACACACCAAATCTGACTAAATTAAATTTGAGTAACAACAAATTTGGTGTCTTGGATGTGCCAACAACTGTTGCCCTGGCTATGACGCCTAGTTTAGAGGTATGTGGTATTCTATAATATTTATAAATAACACTTAAACATATATATTTAAATTTATATCTTAGATACTTGACTTATCTTACACTGGGATTGAAACTCTAACGGATGAAATGTTCAAACCTTTAGTGAACTTAAAATCGTTAAACTTGGCTGGGAACAAGTTGACGGTAGTGCCAGCTGGTTTTAAATTTATTGGACAAAGCTTGGAGATCCTGAATTTAGCTGAAAACTCCTTAAAGGGTTTGACAGAACAAAATTTTGTGGGTCTTAAAGTGTTGAAGCGCTTGAATGTGAGCGACACAAAGAGTTTAGTAGCAATTGAGAAGCATACTTTTTCGCGCCTCGAAACTTTGGAGTATTTATACTGCTCACATAATCCTAAATTAGAGTATTTCGATCTGGATAGCTTGTTGCATTGTAATAATTTAACCTATGTAAGTATTTTAACTATTAAAAGAGTCATCATTAGATGCTATCATTGTTTTAACATAACCTATAATAATTTCAGATCCAATTTATTTTTGCTATTTATACTTTTAAGGTATAAGACCTTTCATAACAAACCTCGAATTGCGTTCAACGAAGAGAAAAAATTAATATTCATTATGAAAGCGCATTAGCTACTTTTAAATCAATTTATCCTTGTGTGCTATAAAGATCGGCAGTTCAAAGGTGTCACGAATAGTAGAGGCATCCCTGTATATTGCTACCTTAAACACTTTATTTTTTAGCATGAATTCATGGACAACTATTGTAACAAAAAAAATATAAACAAAGTCGAGTATCGACAAGACATAATGATGCAGTGACTTCTTTGAAATTTTTATTTCTTTGATTCTATTTCAATAAACTTTTCAACAAGCTTTCGCCTGGCATCTCTATACTTGAAAAACGTTTCCCCCGTACAGTGAGAACTGTCGTTGTCCAATTAAGATCAGGATATACTTACCTGTTAAACAATAATTTGTTACATACAAGCACGTTTATCTCTAATATATGCCCAAACTGTAGATCTACTTTTCTCGATTTAGTCTATCTGTTTACATGCTCTCATTTATTCACTAAATTGGGCTCTATGATTTTATTACTTCGACCCCCTAGAATAACAAGGGTTTTGATTCTTGACCCAACGTAGCACTGAAATTAACTAGTCAAAAATAAACACACAAAACTTTATAATACAAACATAAGCCAAAGTGACCTATTGTGAGATTCCAGAATTTACAAACATAGTAGATCAGATGACATATATCACAATTAGTTATACCGTCTAGTAGTCAGTCAAACTACTACGATAAAAACTCATTCACATAAATGCTGCTCTATAATAAAGCATACATTATAATCAAAAATTGTATGGGGCCTCAGGAGCGACCAGGCTTACAACTCGAAACCCCTAGCTTGTACTTACGATTACGCACCGTCTACCTCTCTAATAGGGATCGAAAATAAGACTGTCTGATTGCCTATAAATAGTAAGATAATTGACTCGGTTCCTAATAATTTAACCTGAAGGGGCTTCTATTATAGTTGAAAAAAAATAAAAAATACACTACGTCTTCAATTCGTTACAAGAACTCTAGTTCTAATATAATATTACCTACATTAAAACACCAAAATAACCTTTATTTATAAAAGAAATTCAAATATATTAATTTCACTTTCAATTCTAGTTGGATATTTCTCACTGTAACATCAGTACCCTTACAATTGGCATGGACCTCTCAAAAACAACAACACTTAACGGCACAAATCTAACGTTACCGCAACCCTGGCCAAAATTACAAGTATTTGAAACAACCGGTAATCCGTGGCTCTGCGATTGTGAACTATTCCAATTGTTGGAATTTGCTGGCTCACATCATCAACGCAAAGAAGCGGAAACACGTTGTGACTCTCCATATCTATTAGCCGGTGCCAGGTTTTCCAATTTAACTGCTGAACAAGTCTGTTCCATGCAAATACCGAAAAAGTATCATGTCGTAGATGAGGATCCACCACGTTTTCTCAGAAAACGCTATATTATACTAACAGCCATAATAGCATCAGTAGTGTTGATTTTGGGACTTATGATTGGTTTTGTGGTATCTTGCATACGTAGACGTTTGAAGCGAGACGACTTCGGTGTGGAACCAATAAGATACACCAGCGTTCGTAGTAGTAATTTATCAGCCTTTTCGCATGTTAACTCTAATGGAAATACTAATAATGCATAAGACTTTGTTACAAATTTACTTTAAATATTTAATTTAAGCGATACGGCAAAAACAATTTAAAAAAAGTTTATAGTATTTTTTTACTTAATTTTAGAGTTGGTTTAGTTGTAAGAAGAAAACACACACTTTTTTGTTTTTTGGTTTTATTAAATAATTTATATAAACGAATTTTTTTACCAAAGATTATATAAAGAAAGAAAAATAAATTATATAGTATTTTTTTTTTTTTTGTAAGATGACAATGCATTTGTGTATAGAAATTTATAATTTTTTAAGTAATAATATAAATAATTTTTAATAAAAATTAAAAAAAGAGAAATAGTTCCGTGGACGTAAAGCTGAGGCTATGTGCATCCAAACTTAAAGTTAACAACAGTTTTATATGATTAAGGCCAGTTTATAAGTATAACAGACATATTTTTAAAATATATGTAATATTTTGTAATATATACAATAAATAATTTTTGAGTTATACATTATATAAAGTGTAAGTTTAAAATTAAGTAAGCTTGTTTGTAAATTTAATATATTTAATATAAAATTGTTTACAACGTTTGCCATTTTTAATGTACTTAATAAATCATTTAAAAACCCAGTACCCAGTATAATGTTTTTTATTTTAAAATAATATAATAATTTTTTCAAACCACTAAATTCTATTTAAATAATCTTTTTTAACAATTATACTAATATTTTTAAAAATAAAATTAATGTAAAAATTAAAATGTTTTTAATAATAACATTATTATTTTAATAATATGATTATAACAATAATTGATTATAACATATAAGCATTTAAAATTTACTTCAAATAATTCATAAATGTCTACGCATATTAAAACCAAATGCTTATATTATAAATAAATAAATAATAATAGAAGTACTAAAATACAGTTTAAATTTAAAAAACATATTCATATTATTAATTTCAAATTATAAATAAAAGTCTTAGAAAAACTCTCTGTGAATCAAAGTAATCACACGACATAATTTTATAAATAAAATAAATTAATTTTAAAAAATTATTACAAACTTAGTTGTTTAATTACTGAATTCAATTTCAATATAAATATTTTTAATTTTCAAATTTATTGTATTTATTAATCATTTTTAGATAACAAATGTTGGCTTAAAGCAGGCCATTGTATTTATTATAAAGATAAATAAATAATAAATAAATAAATTGATTTATAAAATGTAATTAATGAAAGTAGAAAGTAATGAAATAAAATAATAATAATATAAATGTATTGATAATAATGACAAAAGAAAAAAATAATATAATTTTATAAAAATTATATAATAAAAACATATAAAATCAAAACGATAAAAAGAAATAATAACAAAATAATAATAATATATAAAATAAAGTAATAATTAAACCAAAATATATAATAACAATATTCAATGTAATAAATATTATTAATTAATATATAACATGTAATAATGTAATTATATATATAATATGAATACAATAATATTATAATGATATAAAAACTAATATTTTATAAATAATAAATAAATAACATAAAATAATAATGATATAAAATAATAGTAATAAGAAAATAAAAAAAATAATGAATAATAACTGAAATAATAATATTAAAAAATGTAAATTACAATGATACAATTAATAATAAAATAATAAATGAAAAATAAGTAAAATTATAAATAATGATGTAAATAATAAATAGTAATAAAATAAATATAAAATATTATAATTAAATAAAATTATAAAATAAATTAAAAATAATATGATATCGTAAAGAAATGAAATAATGATGATGAATATTAATAAAATAAAAAAAATAATAATAACAAAATATCAAAAATAATAACAAAATAAAAAAATAATAATAATATACAAACATTGTTGATAATAAAATAAAATAATAATAACATAATGAAATAATAAAATAATTTTCAATTTGTAGTAGTCTAAAGTAAGACACTAAACTTTCCAAAATTTATTTTATATTTAATAAGTGATTGAATAAATAAATTTTGAAATACATAAAGTAATATAAATAAATGTAATCAAATTTTCTTTTTTTTATTAAGAATTTTTAAATCGTAGTTGAAGCTTTTTTTTTTAGTTTTTTTTAAATATCTTTTTTAAATTATTAAATGACAATTTTAAATATTGCAAACTCTGTTAACAATAATTAAATTATCTACAAATATTTTTTTAATTGAATAATCTTATTAAAAATAAAATTTTAATAATTTAAATGTAGCCACATTTCTGTTTTTCTAATAATTTGATCACGTGCAAAAAGGACTGTTTAAATAAAATTAATATATTTTGAAACAATTTCACAAATTAAATTACAATTTTGAATATTTCTAATTATAAATATTGAAAAAAATTAATATTAATTTTTAAACAAACATTATTCAAATATTTTTTTATATTGCAACCTAAAATAGGGAGGCTGCACTTTTCATAATTTAACAATAGCAAAATGAAAACATTTTATAAATGAAATAAATAAATTTTTTAGTAATTTCACAAATACAATTAACACATCAATTTTAAAACATTCGAACAAACAATTCTAATATAATTTATTTTATCTTTAGAAATATAAAAATTTCATTCTACATATAATACTTTTCAATTAATATGATTTTAAGTATATAAACTTGCCCAAAAATTTTTCTAACAATTTTAACAATGATACAATAAATTTTTATAAATTTATTTAATTAACTTCATTGATATGAGCATTTTAAAAGTCATTTACTGTGAGAACAATAAAAAAATAAATACAAAAAATTATCTAAATTTTAATAACAATGAGTAAATATAAAAATATGCGCAAAAATTAAATTAATTATTATGAAAATATTATCTTATCACTGTACCAAAACTAACTTTCATAACAACAACAAATTATATAACTGATAACTGTGTTTATATGATAAGAATATAATACATATATACTATATAAGTATTTATGTATTTAAGTAATGAGTTAAAGATTTTTTTTAAAAAAGAAAAGTAATAACATTAAAGAAGACTTTAACAAAGGTTCTTATTATAGTTATATATGCATAAATATAATCAACAAATTATACATGTTTAAAATTTTTTAGATATAACAATTTTTCGATTTATTTTTGTAAAACTCGCTGATCTGAGCAACTTTTTCCATTAAACTGTATTTGGATATAGCTTGATTCTACAGATACCGTAATCAACGTTTCTATAATGTCCAATATCAGAAAAATCAAGCCTTATGATGCAGTGGAAAATGCTACTTCGAATAAGTTTTACAAAAATCCGTCGACTTATTGTGTGGTACACAAAAATTGTATATAAGCAATAAATTTTTACATTATGCAGCGCACAGACCTATAATCGCGGACAACCCAGGTTTAAAATTTCCATATAAAAGTATGTAAATCTGCCTTAGTGGTAGCTACAATAGTTCAAATGCTTAAAGTTTTATATTAGAAAATTTCAAGCCAAGCGCTTTTCGGTTTTATTCTGCATTGGCCATTACGCTTTACATTACTTATTTACAAATACATTTGTTAATTTGTTGTTGTTAATTTTGGTTTAAAAAAATTATATAGAAAAGATAATTTTGTTAAAAATTTTTTAGAAAAAGTTTTAAAAAATTCTATGTTTTCTATATAATTTTCTTTTGTTATAATTAATTGCTTTTTAGCAATTATGTGAGAATATTTCTTTTAAAAGAAGAAAGTGTATATATTTTAACATTCACTCTCTAGAATATCCTCTTTACCGGTTGCTTGTGTAGGCAATTGTGTCGCAATATCCAACTTAAATAAACTGATGGCTTGTTTTTGTGCCAGAAAATTTCGTACCTCAGCATAATTATCCTGTTCCTTAAGAATTTTCTTACGTCGCTCGTATTCCAAATCAGCTGAGCCTACACTACCACTATCACTCTCTTCACTATCAGCATCGTTATCATCATTACGACTAACTTGGTTAAGATACTTTTGTTGAGCTGGATTTTCAATTGGCTTATCACATATAGTAACTTTTTTCGTCTTAGTTGTTGATGTTGTTGTGCCTGCATTATCCAATAATTGATCAACATTGATACCTTTAGCAGCTAATACTTCACGTTCTTTTTGCAGCATTGACTCTCGAATAGGATCAATACGATCCTTTAATTGTTTTAACACTGGACGAAATTTTCCTTTAGTTATACGCTTTTCAAAATTTAATATTTCCATTTCTTGCGCATTTTTATTTGTTTCTTGCTTCTCTGCAGCTTCCTCTTTCTCTTCAGCTTTTGCTTGTTGCTCATCATACATATAAGCATAGAAATCATCAGTTTTAGCTGCTTCATTATCATTTTCAGATATTTCTACACGGAGTATACTTTCTGGAAATTCATCATCTGCTACAGCATTGCTATTTATTGCGCTCTTGTTGTTCTCATCAATAATTTTGCTATTAAGAAATTTGTTGTACATCAACATTAAGCGTTGGAAATCATCAAAGCACACAGATAAAGCGTTCTCAATACCATGCATATTATTTGCGACTTGTAGTAATTGCTTGGCATTATCTTTTTTTTCCGCTTCGGTTGCATTAAGTTGTTGTAAGGTTACATCTAAAGCCTGACATTCACCTGCTACAGCCACCATACAGGCACTGAGTTTTAGGGAGGAGTCCTGCAGCACTGCTATGGGGTCATTACGATTCTTAACGCACTTTGTGCTGTTAAGTGTTTCAAGCTCTTGTTGCTTCTTTTTATTCAATTCAATGGATAAGTTTTTAAAATGATTCTCCTCCTCTAAAACTAATTGTCGTATAAGACAATCTATTTTTACTAGCTCCGCATTTAAACGACTGATAGATGGGTAAGTGGTTATGGTTAAAGCCAAACGTAAAAGGAACTGTGATTGTATGTAAGCAAATATATTGTGAAAATCCTAAAATTTAATTTTTTATTATTATTGTTTTCTTAAATTAAATAATTAATAAAAACCTTTATATGCTTTGGGCTATAATCTGTGACATTATTTTTAAAATATTCACACTCTCGTAATTCTTCGATGGGTGAATAATGTTGTGAAAACTTAGCTGGGATTGGATATGTGATTTCCAGCTTACGTATTGCATCATAAAGTATTTCTGTAACTTCCTTCGTAGATGTTATGCAGTCCCAAGCGCGTTCTATTTGACGTGATCTATAATATGCAATGATAAATAAAATTTATATAAAACATATATACCACAAAAAAATTTAAATATTTTTACTCAATTAATTCCTCCGGTTTCATTATAATAATTTCATTAAAATACGTCATATTGCGTCTTATGCAGTTGCCAAACTCATCAATGGTGCGTATTAAATTATCCAATTCCCGTTCCACAATTTTATTTCGAAATACAAATACATTCTTTACCATGTACATGGCTGTGAAGCCACTAGTTAGCAACAAAGTCGGCAATAAGGTGAACCGCAAATATTTTGGTGTGACGAAATGCTCCAAAATTGTCCCACCAATTAAAGCGCATGTATTACGTGCTGTGAATATATCATTGGCAAGTTGTTTATCCTTAACCGTACCTACGTTATTATTTTGAGTGTCTACCACATCCTTATACGCCGGATTATCTTCCATGTACATTAAGCAATGTTCCAGCGCCTCGACATGTTCAACTAGTAAACGTTTTGAATATAAGATTTTGTTGATAAGGCATTTTGTAATGGCCTAAAAGCAAATGGAAAATTATTAATCAATAATACATTAAAAATAAATTATTTTGGTGAACACATGGCTACACCGGCCGCTAGTCCTTTTTGCCCTTTCGCAACATTTTTACTACGCACCTTTTTTTGTTTAAGCTCATCTTTAACGTGATGACTAATATTTATTTTCAGCTAAAAGATATTAAAAATTCATTATCGCTCAATTAATACGTATAATCTATTTTCGTTACCAACCTTCATATTGTACTATTTTATTTTTACTAAAAAATCAAAATAAAATAAATATTTGATATTGCTTCTTCTAAACTTTCGCTACCATTCACAATAATATTCACAATAGTACAAGTGCATTAAATTTTAATATTACAAATGGAGACAATTTACACGATGCGTAATATATATATGCATATATTAAATAGCATATATCTAATTAGTTAATATATAATATATAAAAATATGTATTATATAAAATTTAATGTATAAAACCGCACATTTACACAGAAGCATTTAGTGCATGTCAAGGTGCATCCACACCAAAGCGAACACTTGCGAACGAACGAACTTTTGCAGGTACAATTACTTGCGAACCTTCGTTCGCTTTGCTTTGGATGCATCTTCAGATAGCAAATATATTGTATATAGAATTTTAAGTCATAATAAATAAATTTGGAGTTATTTTGTTTTTTCTAAAGAAATTATTGAGGCAATCAATTTATTTAATTGTTTTATTAAAACAGTAGAAACAGTATAATCTCAGTGATAATGGGTTAGATTTATTGGCTTTTTAGTATTACAAACTTACATGTTTTGTAATGTGAATAATTAAATATTCGTTAACAGCCTATAAGCAATCTTATACTAATATAATAATTTATTTATTTGACTGAACTTAGTTTATTCATATATTTCATAGTAATATCGGCAGCATTGCAGTTTAATAGCATGTTTAGACTATCTTACTTAACTCATTTTTGGGCTTATTTCGGTGGAGTGTAGGCGTGTAGGACGTAGTTACATTTGTGATGCAAAATCTATATAAAATTCATGTAAGGATGTGCGAGGTAAACACGTACTTATAATTTAAGTCTATTGAGTCTGTTGGGTTTATATATTATAAAGACTATTACTTAAGTCAATTGACTTAATACATGCCACTTCAAAAATTGAAATATGGCAATTATGGGTGCAAGTTTTAACAAACATAAAGAGAAAATAAAGGAGAGAATCAAAATAAAATTCAAACAAAAACAAATTGTAAACAAAAATATAGAAAGATGTGAAAACGAAAATGCTTTTCGTTTTTTCTTGTGTTTCAATTTTCGTTAAGTTCAAGTTAAGGTGTAGGGGATTAAATGTCTTGATTCGCATATGTTAAACTGAAGTCTAAACATGGCATTATTTATAAATAATTAGATTTGTTTGTGTTCTATTATCACATACATATGTATATATAAATGTGTTCAAATATTGAAACAAATTTTTGTTGGACTGTACTCATTTATACAGTAATGTATAATATATATACCAACATACATAACTATTTACAAATCTTACTGAACTTGGTGTACTCCCTTTTGCGGTTCCATAAAATTTAATATAGTGTGCTACAAAAAAGGCTTCATGAACTTCGAGATCATTGTTTTCTATAGCAACGTCTCTTCCAAATTGTTTACGAGAATCGGTATTTCTTATTTTTTGATAAATTGATTACAATGGCATAGTATTATATCAGCTGTCTCAACACAATTTTTGCTACTCTATTATGTATTAAGACCTATAATATACGTATGAATGTATGTGATTATAGGAGCGATTGCATCTAGTTCCGTTCAATATCTATAAAGGTCACTGCGTGGAAATTAGGAATTTGTTCTCAATTTTCCGCGAAGCTAACAGCACATAGATATGGCAATACGTATAGACATGGCTATAATCATATTTATGACTGGTTAATTTTAAGATGTTTGCTGGATAGCCCAGAATAGTGTTTATCTTCCGACAAGTACATGTACTAAAATAACTAAATTACCAATTAGAGTTTAGAACAGACTGCAGTCCCGCTTTCTAATTAAAACGTAAAATTAAATTTGAATATATATATCATCGTATAATGAGATAAAAATGTTTTTTTTTTTATTTAGTAAAACTATTTGAAGTCTCTCCCGAAATAAATTTCTGAATACGGTACTGTTAGAGTAAAAATATTATTATTTTCCTTTATATCTGAAAAAAATAACCTGCTTATTAACTGAACTTACATGCGAGCTAATAATACTACACTTTTTCAGACTGAAATCTTAGCAATTACAGAGGTCATATCAGTTAAATGTAACCCACATCAAGTATAGTTGAGAGGTTAGCATAGAGAGTCAAATGGTAATAAAGTTGTTCTAATCTTTCACCATTAAATTAGCTTTGAATCGGAAAATTTAGAATGGAAATCAGTAGGTTAAATCGACTTGCTGATATCATTCTAATCTGTGTTTCAACCGAACATAGAAGAGATTGAAAAATAGATTTTGATGCTTCTATGAATGTATTTTCGGTGCTGCAGATTTCTATTCTTTTGGAAATAATTAACAGGCATATTTAACTATATTTATTAAAGTTAGGTATTATTTAATACCTGTAAGTAAACCTCTGTAATATGTCGGTCGAACTAGCTTCTGTATTTACTTATCAGGTCTTGGGTAGTCATTAACAAAGATCGTAACAATATTGCTCGTGTTATTGCCGCTCTTTCTGGCTACGCATGGAAATGATCTATTTTTTTTTGTGATTCTGTAGCTTTGTCTAATAGAATGAAGATTTTCTGATGTTTATGGAAGATCTTTTTTATAGTTTATTGGATTGTTCTCTTCGATAAAGATATATTCAAAGGGTAACTGCCGAACTGTGGCATATGCAAGAAATCACAGGGTTTCAAGAACGGCCGTGTCTACATCTCGGACCAACTCGTTAATCACGACGACCAAGTGTCATTCACCACCTCTCATGAGATTGAAAACCTCCCATGAATGTTTTCACTTTAATTCCACTAAACGGGTATATTTTTTTAAGTAGTTATAACTTATAACCTTTTAATAATAAATTAATATATAACAATTTTTTTAGTTTTTATTTTTATTTGTTTTCATTGACTTTTTTTAACAAATTCTGTTGTAAATAATATCCCATCGAAAGTAAAACTATCTAAAATTATACATATATAAAGTATTATTAACAAAATTAGCTATTAAAGGTAGTGTATAAAAAGTACTTTGCTTTTTTTTATCTATCAAGAGCCGTAGAGGCATTTAATCTTTACTTGAGAGTACAAGCTTACATTTGTTCGGTTTTGACTTATCAAAAAAATATGTATATATTTATATTTTATTTGTTATTTGTTATAAAATTAACACAGATATATAATTCAATTATTAACTCAAAATATAATTTTAATAACAAAACAATTATAAAGATAAAATCAATTCAATCAAATAAAGTTAAAGAGTATCTGAGGCAATTGTGCGGTACTTAAAAGATTGAATGATAAATTCTATGAAATGTTTACGGCTGATAATAAATACTTTATTTTCAGTTAAGATACTTAGTATTGTTTGTTTAACATTTGTGTTTATTATCATAAAAGTAACAAACACTTGACAAATTGTAGTAAATAAGTCAACAATTCGATAGAGAATATATAAATTAATTTACTAAAAACAAAATAAAATTGTTTAATAAAAGTTTAATAAAATGTCGAAATGTTATAAAAAGCGTGTATATGTGTAAGTGAATCAGAAATTAAAATATATAAAAATTATAAGCTTATTAGCGGCTTAAAGTTTTTGCAACCATGTTTTGGGGAAAGTTGGCTGATAATTAGGATTGTACATTTGTGCTCTAATAAACTTCGCCTTATCTGCCGGTTCAGGTCGTACTGTAGCCAAACCTAAACAAAAAAAAAAGTAATTTATTATAAACACATTAGTTATATTTTGTCGTTTGCTTTATTAATTACTTACCATTTTTATATGCATAATCCATAACACTTATAGCAATTTCCACTGAACATTTGGTGATCTTGTGCAAGGGTGGATATAAGCTGCCCTTTGCCAAATCCGAGGGTGTACACAACGAAGCCAATTTTTCTGCAGCAATTAAAAATATTTCCTCTGGTATGGTCAACATGCCAGCACAAATAACACCCAATGCGACACCGGGGAAAATATATGAATTGTTACCCTGGCCGGGATGTAGTAATTTACCATTGTATTCGACAGGTTGGAATGGTGAACCAGAAGCGAAAATGCAAGTACCTTTGGTATGTGTATAAGCTTCTTCAGCAGTACATTCGGCTTTGTCTGTTGGATTGGATAGTGCAAATATAATGGGAATATCATTATATAGAGCCATCGATTCTAGAATATCTTGTGTAAATGCGCCACCAACAGCAGCAGCACCAATTAATACTGTTGGCTTAACAGCTTTTACGACTTCGGCAAGACAATCAATAGGTTCATGATTTTGTGCGAATCTTAATTTATGCGATGTAAGTCCACCTTTTGGACGATCTACGACAATAAGACCCTTGCTATCAACCATCCAAATACGTTTTTTAGCTTCTTCCTCTGTTAGACCATTATCGATAAGCGCCATAAGACAAAGGCCTGCAATACCCAAAGCAGCTTCACCGGCACCAAAGAAGAGAATAGTGTTTTCTTTTAGAGCAGTATCCTTTATTTTCAGTGATGATAAAATGCCAGCTAATGCTACAGAAGCAGTACCCTGTATATCATCATTAAAGGTGCAGAAATTATCACGATATTTAGCTAACAGGCGGAAAGCATTAGCGTTGCCGAAATCTTCGAATTGTATAAGACAGTTTTGTCCAAAACGTCTGACAACGGCATGCATGAATTCATCAATGAATTCATCATACACCACCCCAGAAAGACGATTGCGACGTAAACCAACATAAAGCAGATCATCTAGAAAACAATAGAGTTTTTAATATAAAGTAAAACAATAATTTGACAGTTATTAGATAGTATATAAAGTCATGAAAGTCTTAGTAAATATATAAAAGAACAGGTACAGAAGTACTTAAATTTTATTAGTGATAGTTTTGTACAATATTTGTTAAGTACTTGTTTATGTTATTTAAAATTTTTTAATTATATATTTTTCAGTTATATATTTTTTAATTATATTTCAATGAAGTGTTTACTTTCATAACCTTAACAACAACATTTATATTGCACTTACCACGTAAGCTTTGATTATTTGTGCCAACATCAAGTGTTATAGGCAAACACTGGCTTGGTTTGATACCAGCTAGAGCAGTATACAACGATAATTTGCCCACAGGTATGCCCATACCGTTAGCACCTAAATCACCAAGACCCAAAATACGTTCACCATCCGTAACCACAATAGCACGTACATCCGTTTCAGGCCAATTCTACAAAATAAATATATAATAATATGATTTTATATATTATATGGTATATATCATAATCAAAGATTTTGATTTATGTAAGTAGAGTTTTAACTGCACATATTTTAAATAAAATATGACGTCATTAGGGTCATTCTAAGTGATCCTTAGAATGACTCTAAGTAGGGTCATTCGTTAGCATCCTAGGACAGCCTAGGCAGTCCTATTAAAAATATATCCTAATAGCTCTATGTAACTATTAGCTCTACTAAGAAGTAATAGTATTTAACTAAGTATGCTAATTTTTTCAACCCCGCGGAAAATGGGTTCGAGGCAAGATGTCTGTCATAAGAGACGACTAAAATCTAGTAGGCACCACCCGTTACCGTTGACCGGAGGTGTAAATATTGTATTACGGGAGCCAGGGCCTACAGCTTTGGCTTCACTGACCAAATGAGGTTGGCTCTTTTAATAGTTGATTCAGTACCATGTTATTGAAACTTAATGACGGGTTAGGTTATAACGATGATTCTAAAGGATCCACTCAGACCTATAGACCCACAGCTTTGGTTGTACTGACAAATTGAGGTTGGCTATAGACGCATTCTGCTATTGTATTATTAAAAATCCAAGTGCTAAATATTATTTAGAGCCTTTGGCAAAGCTTATGATGCTATGCAGAGGGAGGTCCTGAAGTTCGCTAAGATTCTTAAAAAAGAAATACCCAAAAGTGTTAATGTATCGGACAGAAGCTAAGCAAATGGGAAGAACTTTCATCGTCTTCCCCACAACTGCTGCAGATTTGGTTGAAAGGGAGATTTAATCTCCTAACATGGTTACCTAAAATACAATGACCTGTAAGTAAACTTACTGCAAGACTGATATCTCTACGGGGCATCTGGATGATCAATCAAGTTAAAAAACTATTTATTTTACAAATATGATATAAATATTTCTATATATCTCAAAACTTATAAAACTGGAGTTAAAACCTGCTTTCATCAAACTCTTTAATAATTCATGATTATATGTCGCAAAGTTCTGCGAAATTTACCTTTAAGACATCATAGATATGTCCACTATCATTAAGGGTTATGTACATGCCTTTAGGATGAGTAAAGATTTTACTGAAGTTTTGACAAGCCAAACCAACGGTCGGTGTATAAACGATTGGCATCATTTTGCTCACATCCGATGCCAACACCTTGTAGAATAAACGTTCATTACGTTCAGCCAAGTCACTGAGATACATATACTTGTCCAAATTGTTCTCCAAACGATTCAGTAATATCAATGAATGAGTAACTTGCTCTTCCTCGGTCTTTACAACTGCAGGCAGTAAACCGTGTATACCGAGCAATTGACGTTCTTCCAAGCAGAAGGCCAAGCCCTAGAAAATAAAGATTATAATATTATTTTATTTGTTTTAATTATGTAAAATATAGTTTTTTTTATATAATAAGTTACTGAACTTTGAAGCGTATTTTGCGCCGCTTTATATTTTTTTTTGTTAAATTTTGTATTCAAAATTGCTTTTTGTCTACAAAAGCCAATTTTTATATGAAATTTATGACCCAAATTTTATTTATTAATTTTACAAAATGAAAAAATAAAACAAAATAAAAACTATACTTAAAAATTTTATGCATGTCAAATGAATATGCATGAGTGTCTGGTCTTGCCATGAGCAACTCTTAAGTCTGAAGTCCATTTTATTAAGAAGTTCAACAATGGTATTAGTCGAGACTATACCATTGTATTCCAAACAAATATATTTGGTATTTTATATCAAAAAGTAAGTAGTAGTTTTAATTTATTAATTTTTTTTTTTTTAATCTTCAGAGTGATTCCCCTTTGATGGCAGGCTACTATGTCACCGGATTTCAAGAAACGCTGTTAAAAGTCCTTTTCAGATATGGATGGCTTGAGTTTACTCTATAATTTGTCTATATCTCATTTATTGCTGAAAAAGTTTTCCTTTTAAAATGTTTTGAATTTGATAAATAGCAAAAAGTTTCAAGGTGCCATGTCTGGAGAGTAAGTAAGGTGTTGAGAGATTATATCGATGTAATGCTGCATTACAAAAAAAAAATTATAGAACAAACTTCGGCCTAACTCGTTATATATCCATATGTTGAGATTTTTTAATAATATTAGTAGGCTAATCAATTATTTCACGAATAAGAATTGACCTGAAACGGATGTACGTGCTATTGGTTACAGATAGCATCGTGTGGGAATAATAAGACTAAAGGAAGGTGGAAATCTGGCTCTTCCATTCTGAAGAAAGGTCACTTTCAAAAATCGTGGCATGAGTTATTTATATTAATTGTCTATTAATTCGGTTTTTAAGCACTCATGTCATTTCTTTGGATCTCCACCTATGTATCCCGAGTATTCGTGGTGTGTTCATAACCGAATTATTTAGACGTTATTTAGAATTGTGTCCTTCTCACTTTATATAGATTCAAGAGTAACGCATATTCGCTTATTAATCATTATTGGTGAGTCCCGTTTTGGATGTCGAGAGATGTCGGGAGAAACAAAATCTACTTACAGGATACTGTAGACTTAATTACCAAATGAAGATTATAGGTGCGCTAGATTCTGTCGACTTTGTCATGAGGAGAAGGAAACATTGGAACATATTCTATGCAACTGCCCAATGGCGGCAAGACGTAGACTGGACTATTTAGGAAGCAGGATCTTAGTCCCAAATCAAATAGGTAAAATTAAGCCCACAGAAATCACGAAATTTATAAATAGTCTATAATTGTTTTAGTTGGGCCTTTAGGCGCACAATAGATCTTTTAGGTCGGGGTGCATTTTATTAATTAATTAGTATTATTTAATAATAACGCTGGTTTAGCCAAATTCTTGAGATATATGTAAACTATATTCGTATTCAACTTTGCTATATTTTTATATGGATTTTGCTTGAAAAATGGCATATATCGCTGTAAGTTTTCAAGTACAATAGTCTAAATACAGCATAACATGATAACTTCAAATCAATAACAATCTCATTGAATCTACTATATTTATGGGAACTCCGATTTGCACACGATATGTAATATATAAAAACAACAATATTTGATCTTCTTTTGATCTATTTTATTTGTTCAGCAAATAGTTTGGAGTTTTTATAATGTAGCTTGCTTAATTGTATAATTCTAACTATGAAGAAAATAAATAAGCTATCTATGTTAGTACCCGTTCTTCATTCATAAATCCAACTGTTTTCAATTTACGACTCGTGGGGTAACTATATATGTTATATAGTCTGATTTTAATATAAATATAAAAGTTTATTTAAGTCATTTTCTGAGTATTTATAAATTGTGTAAACATTAATAAACGTGTTTCTTGAAGCAATTAACACATTATCGTGTTACGCATACAAATTACCCGATTTTAAAAAAATAAATAAAAATAAATCGTTATGACACACAACTTTCAGAAAGCGTTCACCTTTTCGAGGTTTATTTGCATTTGTTTATACCTCATAAAAAATTCAAGTTCAAAGTCAAACTATTTTCAAGTTTTTCCTAGAGAATCGTCTTTTGTTTGGTTTCTACTAGAAATATACCGGCTAAATAGTTGGCGACAGAATCATTAAATCTGTGAATGTAAAATGTAACAATGAATAACGATTCACTTTTTAAAAGTTAATTACTCGTAAATACACAACGTGATTCTAGTAGGTTAATGCATATTCAAATAGAAAGTTATTATATCTATGAACTATCTTGCAATGTAATTTTATAATACTTATACGAAAAGTAACCTTCAGATGAGACTTTTTTTATTAGCAATTATTGGCGTAGAGATGTCAATAAGTCAATAATTAAACCCATATATCTTTACATGTTTATGACATTTAATTCGTGTATTGGGATTATAAATTTAATTGCAACATTTAAAGTAATAAACTGAGATATTTTGATTTATATGATCACATCTTTTTTATCACACTTTCGTTTTATTTACAATCACCGGACTTTTATGCGATATCCAAGTACTTGTCCTTAGTAACATTCACTTGGTATTGGATTTATTATTATTGATATATTTTGAATATACAATAATATACAATACGAATGAATTTAATTTATATTTTTACATACTGATTTAAAATAAAAAAATGTTCCACGTAAGCACCACAAAACAAAAGATACAAGATTCGCTACACCATTTACTTAAGTAATTAAATTAGACATTAAAAATGTTATTATTACTAAGCAGACTTTCCTTCTTGTGGATATATCCTACACAAAAATAAAATAATATTTTGTATATAAGATTTTAATTTTTAATAATTTATTTGCATTGGTTAGTTAACTATTTAACTTTATATACTAAGTGATATTTGCACATACAAACAAACTCCTGCAGTACACAAGACAACATTGATGTTTTTGCAAAATTTTTGTACTTCTTTCTGTGTATAGTTTTTGCATTTGCATTATGATTTTCATCTTTTCATCTCAACCAGCTCTTACCTCAACTCAAATACACTCTTTATGCAGTAAAGTAAAAGAATAAAATAATAAGAATAATTGGCGAGGGAATGAATAAAAGTGCTGTTAAGCTTGAAAATTTAAGTGGAAATATTATTAATGTTAAAAAAATTTTAAAAACATATAATGAAACTTATAGTTTCATTATTATTGTGGAGAACAAGAAATAAAAGAAATAATTTAAAAATATATACAGGAAATTAGGGGCTATAGGAAAAAGAAAGAGGCGTTGTTGTATTAAAAAAAAACAAAATATATTTATAAAAAAAGAAAACATATAAATATATGGTATATAAAAAAGAGAAAATAATAATTTATTTAAAAAAAAGAAATATATATATATATATATACAAAAAAAAATATGTATAAAAAAAAATTATGTATAAAAAAAAGAAAAAAATATATATATATAAATATATATAACAAAAAAAAATATATATCTATATAAAAAGAGGAACAGAAAAATAAATAAAGATGATATTTAAAATGTCTGTCAGAAAGTTAGGATATATCATCTAGATTTCGAAGACATTTACTTATTTTGTTTGAGTACCTTTTGTTAACAAGGTATATCAGCCAATTATAAAATTATATATTATAATTATCGAACTATTATATTAAGTACGAGAACATGGCGATCATGCTAAACAGGAATAGATGAACAATGGCTTTCGGATAATAGATACCACTAATCGAACATCAAGATTGATCCCATCAAAAAATACATAAAGGATAGAGCCATGCAATTATTTGCGAAAACTGATGGACTTATCAACAACGCGTTATCAAATCTCAAAATAGTTACAGGCTCATCGGAGAGGTATGCAGAACTGAGGTCAATTATTGCGAAGTCTGATGAAGTGATAAACAATAATCTAGTCAAGGTATAAAGGGGGGTTTTAAAAATAAGTGCTTAAGTGCACTGGTACAAAACAGCTTCAACATAACTAATCAAAAAAAAAAAAAAAATAAACAGAAATAGAAATAGAAGGCTATTATTCGACAGGCTCTGGTTTTCGAAGGACTATTACACAAATGATGATGATCAGATACTTTTAAAAAGTTAAGAATTTTTTTCGAAATTCACACCTTAAAGAACATAGGTACAGCTTTAACAAAGGTCTCTTATAAATTTTGCAAAAACTTCATATATTTTATATTCTTTTATCTCTACCTATTACAACTATTAAATTTTTATAATGTATTCAAAAAAAAATTTGATTATAAAAAATACTTTTTTTTTTTCAATTAAAGTACTTTGAAACACAGTTCTTAACCTCTAATGGGTCAAGAACTGTACCATATATATACATTATAATCAGAAGATTTTGCAAAAAAAGTTCACTATGTAGGAGTTACTAAGCAAAAAACTAAAATATATTATCTTATTATTGTTTATGTTGTTGATGACAGCAAATAAATCAGACAGAGTAATCTCGGGGTAAACATATATAAATGCAAGAAAGTCAATTGAAAGTTAAACTTAATCTATATAACAAAAATAATGAGTGAGTAAGAAAACATTTTTTTTTTACGAAAACAGTTTATAGTTCTAGAAGTGTTGTCTGTGTTTGCCAATATTACAGTTACGTATTGTTTTTAATAAATTACCGGAGAAGGGAGAAAAATAACCTTTTTTTAATAGAGCAATATAACGCAATAAGACTTTTTATTTAAAGGGCCTCTACTTTTTTCACCCCATCAATATAACAAACAAGCAACTTTTACTTTTTTCCCAGAATAAAACGAAGAAAATAATAGAACTAACCGGATAGGCCTATTTTCCGGTATTAATTTATTTTTCAATAAATTCATAAAGTAACAACTTCAATCTAATCAAGTTTTTTACATTAAAACACTAAAATTATCT